ACGCCATATGATGATGGTACCTAATATTAATTCAATGAAATCTGAACAGAAAAATCGTAGAACACTTTTTAAAATAGTTTCGTTTACCAATATCTAATACATATATTTTACAATGCTGTACCATTGCAGTAGCTTTTTTGAAGAATAAAATTTTCCTTATTAAAAATTTACGCAATTTACAGAATTACATAATTAAGGTGTCAAAGTTACATAAATTTTGTGTAATAATTCTACTTAAAATAATAGTTATAAGAACACAAAATTAGTGTAAGATCATCATAGTGAACATAGGGCTCTGATTTTGCAATGATAACTGGCGTATCAGCCTTTTTAGTCAAAAGTAATAATTACTTAGTTTAATTTGGTTATATATACGAGAACTGAACAGTGTACAAGTATTATATAATAAGTATGTTGTTTCAGAAAAGAAAATAAAAGCTTGACCTATCTTAGATTTTGATTTTACAAATTGACCGACGATTAATTTAGCTGAATTCAATTTACTGTCACTATTTAGAGGCTCGAAAAATTTTTTTAAAACGAAAAGTTGAAACTGAAAGTTCTTACGACATTTTGATAGTTCCATGACCTCATCAGGATGATATTTTTAATCCTTTTATTAGAGTAATAATACAAAAATTTCGAAAAAAGCTTCGATTTAACAACTTATATAATAATATAACGCATAATTATTAATTTGATTATAAGAAAGGGAAGGTTTAGGGTTGGAAAAACGTACTGATAAAGCATTTATAAACAGACAATACATTACATTGTAAACGTCAAATCTAAATTTTATTGTATCAAAATAATTTATGTTGATATGATAACATAAAGAATTTAAAATATTTCTGTTTACTAAAGATAGTTTTCTTTAATTTATTAATCAGATGGCACATTTTTCTGTGTGATATTAGTAATACACTTATTATTCTCTTCTGACCCAACCTTACACGGAACGCAGACAATCAAGATACTGTCGGAGGTTAAAATTACCGTGGCATTATCTAAATCGTAATTCTCAGGTATGTAAAACTTCTTAGACAAATTTTTAAGAATATTACCATCCTCATCTTGTTCTTTTCCGTTTATTCCCTCGATTGAAATGAATCTGTCAACCACCTGCAAGTATAATTTACATACATCACAACCTGACAGTCTAAAATCCAAAAAATGGTACCGAAAATAAAAATTGTACTAGCTCTAACATTTCATAACCATGAAAAAATTTAAATTTTTTGCATGTTACTTTTTTGATAAATGTTTTAGATTTACACACCAGCCAAAAAAAATTGAGATCTCTAAATAGAACATCTTTTAATGATGTATACAGATTTAAAAAAAAAGTATTTTTATGCTTTTCTAATAAAAATAGTAATATTTTACAGTCTGAAAAAATTAGTCTAGATATATCTTAAAAGACTTGCACTTTTGGCGTAAGAAATAAAAATTGAGATTTAAAGAAAAACATTTTTATTTGAATTTTTCAAGGTCATCTTTGTTATCCAAACATTAAAGAAAATATTAATAATTATAGAAGTGAGTTTTTTAGTTCCATCTTATATTCGTCTAGGGTTAGAAGGCAATAAAAATTTACAAACAATACAAAAAAAACTATTCTTTTCGATTACAAAAAAAAAATTGACAATATATCACACAGTTGTGAATACGAAAATCATAGATCTCGAAAATTGTTAATATTTTTTACTTTTATGTATTTTTTAAAACTTATTTCATTCTCTAAAAATTGAAGAAAGTATTTTTACACGTAAAAATTCGTTTTTTTTTTTGCTACAGATTATGTTTCAGATTTAAATGTAGTCGAGAAAACTTATAGATCCCGTTGTTCAACGTTTTTGGAATATACATTTATATCTAAAATCTGATTATTGTAGTCTAAATACTGATAATCTACAAACATTGGTAGAAAGCTGATTAAATAGGATGATATTGCTGAATTAAAATATTTAAAAGAGTCCATTTTAGTAGAGTGAAACTCTCTGCTCTAGTAAAAAATGTAGCATTTGTGTCTTACATGCAAAAATTCAATTTTTTGTATAAATAAAGGTGTTTGTTATTCCTTTTTTTTAATCGCAGCATCAATTATGAAAGAAATATCGTGTGTTAAAGGAATAAAATGAAAATACTCACGAACACACTAATCTCTTCTGAAGCAAATTCCATGCAATTTACTTCCACTTGAATGTCATCCTTAAAGAACTTTATTTCAGTAAATCACATAGAAGAATAAGTCATAAAATATAATAAGTGAGTGTATAAATCGTTTTACCTTGCAAGCTCCATCATTTGAGGTTTTAAATTCATCATAGCTTTGGAGAGTTAATGTCAACGGCAAGGGTATTTTTTTATTAGAAGTTTCATGCGAAATCTCAGGTGCAGCATAAAAAAATTCCATTAGCGACTTTTTAAACTTTTCGTCAAAAACAATTTTTTCAGACGACATGATGATTCAGAATATAAAAACCAGTATCTAACTGCTCTAGTTGTTACTTCGACAAGGTATAAAAAGTAACTGAAGATAAATAATTACTTGCGTATAGCTAAAGGTGCAGTTAAAGCTTATTCACCAGGCGAATGAGGTTCGATGAGATAATCGAATCTATCGAAGCGCTCATAGTGAGAAAACTCGGCGACTCAGTCCTCCCTCCCAGCAGTTGTAAATGCATTTAAAAAAAAAAGTTATATCAGAAGCTAATATTGTCTGTTTTGATCACTTAAATCATTCGTAGATGTCGGTGTCGACATATATTTTTTAAGAACTAGTATTTTCAGAACAAGTATATAAGAGAGGGTACGTGTATGTCTGTAAAAATACATGGAGTAATTGACAATCATAACTTAGCTCATGCATGCTTAGCAACAGTATATCTACGTAAATCTACTATCAGTAGTGTAGGTTACGGTACCAACCAAATATTTTTCAGCCAACGTTAACAAAGGAATACATTTAAATTAATACTATCACACTCAAAATGTGTACAATGCTTAACGTAGTCATATTAACTACTGATATGAAATTTATTTTTCTTTATGAAATTATATTAACGTAGTGGTCATACTAACAACTAATATAAAAGCTATTCTTATGCATGACGCCATATGATGATGGTACCTAATATTAATTCAATGAAATCTGAACAGAAAAATCGTAGAACACTTTTTAAAATAGTTTCGTTTACCAATATCTAATACATATATTTTACAATGCTGTACCATTGCAGTAGCTTTTTTGAAGAATAAAATTTTCCTTATTAAAAATTTACGCAATTTACAGAATTACATAATTAAGGTGTCAAAGTTACATAAATTTTGTGTAATAATTCTACTTAAAATAATAGTTATAAGAACACAAAATTAGTGTAAGATCATCATAGTGAACATAGGGCTAAAATACACAAGATTCGTGTATTTTTATCAAGACATTTGTGTCTAATGTAACTTACACAAACCGAGTGTAGCCTGTAGAAAAATTTTGTCTGAAATTGAACAAACTTTGATCAATGTTGACAAGCCTGCATTTGTCGTAAGATAATTTATGTATCAGCTTTGATGAACAAAATCATGTAGTACGTTCTAAAAGAATTTACGTGAGCTTACATTATATAAATAACATCGATCATATCTTCTCTGTTAGCCAATATACACACCTATGAAACTGGGCTTATTTTGTCCCCAATGTTTTATACTATGAAAGAAGAATCGTAAACATAAGATACACTACACATGACACGATGGCAGGAGGGTAGATAAAGCCTGAAATATGGTCAGTAAGGAGTTTTCCGTGACTACGACAAAAATTTTTAAAAATTATTGGAATCGCGTTGTATTATTATCACAACACATGGAAAAATAGTTATGGGGCGCATAATTGTGCAGACATATTTGTTGTTAAAAAAAAAAAAAAAAAAAAAACGATCGACCTAATTTTTTCTCCAAATTTCGCTATGAATTTTTTTGGGGCATCGTATTGCAAAAATGGCATGAGATAGTTTGTTATTTAATAACCTATAGGTTAGTACCTGTGAGATTATCTTTATTCTATTTTTTGCGAAATTATAAGGCAGAAAAGAGCGGAAACCGTCATTTTAAATTTCAATTTTGCTACACTGTTAACATTTTTACATTTTTCGAGAAAAATGTCTCAAAATTAAGAATTTGATGTCTCTTATAAGGATCATTACCAACGCCCAACAATCTTTTTCTATCATGAAAAATGACGTCACACAACGATTATTACTTTAAAAATTAATTTGGCTGCTCTGAACCTCACACCATAGCTAGATCAAACTTCTTAAATAAATTTTATTAAGGATACTATAAACATTAACATGGAAAAAAATTTTTTTAATTTGCCCCTAATTTTTATAACATTCTGTATTATAAACAAATTTATAGTATTCTGACGTTTTAAACTTTACAGTGTTGCAATTAATTTTATTTAATAGAGGATGCTATATAACACGAAATAAAACAAAAATTATTGCGATAACGTGTTTTTAACCATAGTTATTAACAATTATTTTTTATTACGTTTGTTGAATTTTCGACGGTTCTTTCGACTTGAAATTGTAGTTTTCTGCTTCTGCAGGGTATTTTATGTTGATTTGTCGTCGTTTTATCAACGATGGGTTGCATGCGTTTAGACTTCGATGCTTGTGAACATTAGATTCTTCTTACGATGGGCGCAAAATATTTTAATACTAATATTTAATACTAATACAAAGCGTCTCCAGCAATTTTCGTCATAGTTGCGGAAAATTTCTTAATAGATATTTCACCTATCCGTCTACAGTTTCTTAGAAAAAACAACGGTTTCTTTAAATTTCTTCTTTATAGACTGTAGTACACTTATTAGATGAATGGCAAAAAAATAAAACTTACAAAATTTTATTTTCAATCATTTAATAATTGTAAAATCTTAAATCTAAAGATAAATTCATGATTTACTATATTAAAATTAGAAAACACTAACAAAAATATTGGCTTCTTTTAAAAAATATATTTATTAAAAGTATCTTAAGGTTAAAAAATTCTTGTACAAATTTTACAACGAAATAAATCCTTACGCTATTCATAGGAAACATGACACTACAGTAAGAATAATAATAATAAATTGAACAATTTGTGTTATGCTTGCTGAACTTGGTTCAGGCTCTTCAGTAGGAAACCCATAGACTGTACTTGGTTCTTCTGTTGAAGTCGGAGTTACCGGTTCTGACGTAGAATCAACATCATCATCCTCTTCTTCTGTGGTAGTTTCGTAAGCTGTAAGAGTATTTATCTAATAAGTATTGAATTACGAACAAAAAAAATTGTACCTTAGTAATTAGTATGCACCAATCAAGGCAACTGTATTGTTTGCAACGATCAAGAGTTTAATATCTGATAAATAAGCATATTATATTTTTTTTTACTTGTTTTGCTGGGATAACGCTAAATAAACTAAGTAACAAATCACTTAAATTCATATATACGAAAGTTGTGTAATAATGCTATACAGTTTGGTGCATTACCACTTGGTACAAATAAATCGAAATGATTTATACATTAATATAAATCGAGTTAAATTAAATAATATCGAGTCTGTTTTGGACATGCGGTTGAGAAACAAGTCAGTAATTGATAAGTTTACGTTTGAAGTTATTTAGCATAAGAAAATATACCGTGTAGCTAATATGAATCTTACTAATTTTGTATACAAACTCCATCAGAGGTACAAGGCACTTCTACAGAGGTGTGTCTTAACATACGTTAAAGGGAAAATCCATCAAACATTTATTGAAAGAATGCCTCAATCAAATGACGATGATGTGTTTTGTGGTATATACTTTAGAACAAAAATAAAAATTTTTCATTCACCTAGTGTGGTGTTATCCGATTCATCGAAATTGTGCTTGTCACAAAGAACAGCAGCTGCATTAGCATCCAACACAAACGCGTCATTCTCAATGTCGTCATCGTCATCCTCGTCATTAACGCTTCAATAATAAAAAATAAATGTATACTTTATGAATAAACAATCAAATAACTTTGCATTTTTTCCCTTTTTTTGTTTTGGATATGCTTACTTGTCTACGTCCGCGTTACTCGAATCAACCATTACTTGTAGGTCCTTCTCTAGATCATCGTACAGGTGAGTCAAGTTCACCGTCTCTTTCGCGCCGCCAAAATTAACAACGACGAGGCAAGTGTTCCCCTCGTACGTTCTACAAGTATCAGCAGAGTATGAAATTAAGTTAAACCAAAAAATAGAGTCCACTCACATCCGAAGAAAATAAATGTGAACAAACCTCTTTAAAATAAGGACTTTGTCATCGTTGACTACCGTCAGGTCATAAGTGCCATGAACAAATATCGGATTTTCCCTCAGCTCCGCGAGCCTCTTGTAGGCCAGTAAATTACTGTCCGGATCGAGCAATTGTTTGTCCACGTTGTACTCAAGATAATCAGAGCCGACCGGTAGAAAGGTCGACTCGTTCAGGGAAAATCCAGCCGAAGTTGTGTCATCCCACTGCATCGGGGTCCTGAAGGGGTCCCGCGAGTTGTCCTCGTAATCATCCTCCCCTTGCGCTATAGCGCGCATATCGATCGTCTCCTCCCACGAGACGTTCCCATTTGTCATCCCGATTTCGTCGCCGTAGTAGGTCATCACCTGTCCCGGAAGCAGCATCGTCAGCATCAACATGCCGTCCAAGGTGTCGTTGTCCAGCCTCGATGAAACTCTCGAGTTGTCTTGATTCGAGAGCTGGAAATTTCACATTTTGTTTGACATACAAGCGTTTATTTATTTTTTTTACTTTCTTTAAAATCTACCATCCAAATGGGCTCGGCATCCCTCGGCAAATCATCCATCCAGTCGTCGATCAACATTTTGATGTCACCTGCGTTGTTGGTGGCGTTCAAGTCGGTGATCAAAAGTAAACTCAGGGGTGTTAGACCAGGATGCGTCTCGTTGCCGTAATAAGAAATCACTTGCTCGTCATCCTCATCTACTTCTCCAAGTAGTAATCTGCAATGAAACGTGTTTTAATCGTCTCCCGCTGTGATAAAAAAAAAAAAAAAAAAAAAAAAACAAATATCTTTGGAATAAAGACAACAGACTTGGGCTCGTCGTCATGTTCTCGAGCCCAGTTGTCGATGTGTTCCCGAAATCTCTGCAATAGTGCGATGTTGTCCGACTCCCCCGTCGTGTAGGAATCATCGTCGTTATTGCCGTCTTGGTCGTTGTCACCATCTTCATCATCCTCGTTTGATTCATCGAGCATCTCTTCATTTTCGAATATATACGATACTCCGCTAATGCAGAAACCATCGACACCCCTCTCCAACCAGAAGTCGAATGTATCCTTTGCAGATGAATGTAAACGATTAACCTGATTTGCTTGTATTTAATTTTTTTTTTTTTTTTTCAAGAAATAATATAAAATTACCAAAATTTCTTTGATAACATCCTCGTTTCTCAAATTAAGATCTGGCTCGGATTCGTGGAATTTGTGATAAAACCACTGTCTCCTTTGCTTATTCCACGACCAAGCTGAGCCCTCTTTGTCGCTGTAAGCGCTTTTCTGTGACAAAAATCGCGTAACGCAATGCATTTTGTTGCGGTCTATTTTTCATTAAAATTGTTTCAAAGGCAATTTACCCAGTTATTTGGAGGAACCAGCTTGTTATCCTCGACTTTGCCGTCAGCCCAAATGTAGTAATCGTCATACGGTTCTTTATCAGCAGCTGATTCGAGAAACCATTCGTGCTGGTCGCTGGAGTGATTCGGAACGATGTCCAGGATAATTTTTATACCTACGATGTATAAAATCTATTTTTGTTCTTATATTGAGGATTGAAAAAAAAAAAGAAACATCAAAGTACCTCTTTTGTGAAGTTCGCTAACTAGCTGGTAGAAATCGTCAAAGTCTCCGTAAATCTCGTCAATGCTGGTGAAGTTTGATACGTCATAGCCCGAGTCGCGCATTGGAGACGAGAAAATCGGACCGAGTCTTACGACGTCCACTCCGATGTCACGAAAATATTCCAAATGTCCGATTATACCTGATTTTCAAGGAAAAAACACATAGTTTACCGATTACAGAGAAACACTTGTGTTGATTTGAAATGTGATATTTGTTTGGGGATTTTACTTCAATGCATTTTTAAATTACTTTATATACACATCAAGTGGTTATCTTATATTTTTTATAATTCGACTGAATTATCGTCATATCCATAAATTAACTAGATTTACTTGTGTTGCTGAATTTTTAAGTCTCGTTTTATGTATCTTGAAATGTTTGAGAAAAATCGGTAATAAACAAATAGATAAATAAAACTTATCTCAAAATTTAAATTATACGTCTCACTACATCTTGGCTGATAATCCAAAATTTCATCGATCTATTAAACAAAATTTTTGGAGAGAAACAACTATGCTTATGCGTCGTCGACACTAAGTAGTCAAAGTCAATAATTAATGTAACAATAAAAAAACTTGTTAATTTTTGGTTGATTTCAATACTTTTCCGTAGTATTTGATATTTCATAATAAAATCAGTAAAATATTAGCCTGTAAGCGCAACGTGTAATACGATAAGGTAAAAGTATCAAAAATAATCTGAAGATTAACGATCGCCGATCCCGAGGACTCGAGATCACCTTACTCCGACACCCTCCCTAAAATCAAACAAAACCACCTGCATCCATTGGCCAGACTACAAATGTACATTTGACACTTGCGAAATTAAAATCGACACAACCCTCGTAAATAACGAGCGCGCGGGGAAATTCGATATTAAATTCGCAGACTCCAACCGATCGTTTTCCGCTCGAACCCGATCCATCATTGCCTCGCGAATTTTCAAGACTCTGTAATCGAGCCCCACCGGCAAATAAAACCTCAAAAACCCTCCTATGCGCATCCTTCGAGTAAACAGCCCCGTCACGCCGCCGAAACGCCAACGCAAGCTCACCTTGTAGGTCACCCTCGCCGTCGGCGTCGCTGTCCTGGAACGATCTCGGCAGCACGTGATACATGTGCGCGTTGTCTCGCCAATCGCGCTGCTCACTCGGTTCCGTGGTACTCCTGTTGCCACCCTCTTTCTCATCCTCCTCGTCGTCGTTGTCGTCGTTGTCATTGGGATGCGAAGTCGTGACGACAGCCGCTCCGGAAATCCGGTCCAGGATCAGAAGGAGAAAACTCAAGAGCAGTAAAGTTCTCGACACCCGCGGCATGTCTCTCTCTCTCTCTCTTTTTTGCCTGTTTGGGTGGATGCATGTAGGTGGGTTATTAGTAGCTCTTGCTATTATTTGGCACGATGATTTTTTGGCATTGCAGTGCCGATCGTGAGTGCTTGCGTTGGAGGTATAATATGCGAGGGGTACGACCTTGACGCTAAACTGTGACTGTACTTTTGCAATGCGCTCTTGGATATGACCACTGCCTATACCTATGTGAGACTACTTACCACGTGCGTGCTTTTTGTAATACTTTTTTCTCCCCACGTTATTCAAGCTTTCGAGGTCGGCTTTAAATTATTACATTTTTTTTTTTTTTTTTTTTTTATCGTACGATGACTGTTGGATATTCGAAGGTTTTTCCGATCGTTAAATTGTGACGGTCAAGGCGTTGTTGATGATGCGAAAAACATATAATGGACATAAAAATTTTTTTGGGCGAACAATATAGTTTACGGTTGAGATCTGTGGGTAAATGTATTGCAATGCAATTGGAGGGAACAAAAAAGAAAAAAAACTTGTTGAAAATAAAAAACAAGTGTAATAGAAATAATAAAATAAAATAGTTCAACCCGTAAAGCGTGTACGTAACTACATTAGAAAAGTTCTCGAAAGAATTGGACGAGCAAAAAGTTATTTTAAATTCATGCTCTCGGAGGCAAAACCACTTAATTTTAGAACAATATAAACACCGAGAGAGCCACGATCTTCTATTCGTAAAATCCCCGGTACTCGCGAGGTTTAAAAGAAAAATGTTCAAACAACACGGGCTATGAATCACAAATGATAAATAATCTCAAACGTTACCTCGAATATAATGTATCTTTCAAAATATCCACAGATCAGCCGAAAAAGCTCGCAGTGTCCACCATATTACGCGTCAGGTAAATGTCAAAGCTATGCACAATTGACGCAAGACGTGTGTCGTAACTCGCGGTATTTTTATTCCAACCCCAATTTGTATTGATCACTTGGGCAACTCCATGCACTCACAACACGGGCGCCTTCAGCAAAAAAGGACCATACAGAGTCCAGAGGTGCTATAGTTGCAGATGACGGAAAGGGATAGTAAAGAGCGCGACTTTTTATTTATTTATTTATTTATTTATTTTTTTTTTTTGAAGCTGTGGGCTCACATTCTCCGTCCTTCTATTTTTGCGAAGCTTGCAGAACACGGCTAGCTCGGCTCGCGCAACGGGACGCAACTGCAGCAGCTGCGGGAGATTAAAAATAATACAGCCGAGCTCCGATGCTCTTATGCCGATGATCTCGCAGCTCGCGATGTGAGAGCCGGATTTGTTGTCTTTGCCCCAGGTGTGAGGGAGAGAGAGAGAGAGAGAAACAGCTTGCGCGCCTTGGTAATCGTGAGAATCGGCTTTTCGAAGCTTTTTGATTTTGATGGACGGCCAAAAGTTGTTGTTGTTGCTCGAGTGCGATGATATTTGGTTTCACCCAAATTCAAGCTCTCCATTTGTAATAGTGTGAAAATTTCCAAATTCACCTATTTGTTCCCGATCGCATATGCGACGATACTTACGTTACGATGATACGTGTACCGGGTCAAAGTCCAAACCGAACCATCCAATTTCCATCCAATTTATTAGAATTGCAAGTTACAAAAATATAATTCGATGAAACAAAGAAAAAGTTTCAACGTTCCTCCAGCCTTTTTAACGCAAGTAAAACCTACACTTTTGCAATTAAATTCACACGAGTCTTAAATCTTTAATCGAGTAAATCAATATTTAGGCATGATTCGTAAATCTTTTCTGGAGGAGCCAGAGCGGATAAGAAAAATTTTCCCGGATTCCCGAATAAAGTTCGTTCTGCAAGTCCAACGAAGATAAAGTGCTCGTTGAATAGTATATAACAAAGCCCACGGGAATTTCTGCTTAATACCTGCTCGCGTCGTTGGAAAAGTTTTCCGGTCGGAGAGCGCGAACAGAAAGTTATTAATGAGAATCGTCGAGGGGCTTGGCATGCGCATTAACTTCGAAGCGGAGGGAGGCATACTAGATCATGAATAATATTATCAATCTATTTGTCATCAGTAACTGTGCTTACCTTTGTTTTGATGAATATTTCAAATAATCATTGATGTTCATTTTGCTTTTATACTATTTCATGATAATTATTATTTTTTTTTTCTTCACTTTTTTATATATAAAAAAAAAATACTTGAATAAGGAATGCTCTGACGACGATTTTTT